CGTTCATTGTAGCACAGGGTCATTTTCGATCTGGAAATGTTGCTTTGGTCTCTCTCACTATCTCTCTCTCTCTCTGGATCTCTCCTCTCTCATAACATAGCTCTCTCTCGACCCACCCATAGGTATATCCTCCGCTATTCCTTCTATCGTAGTCAAACGACGTCCCATCGGTCCAATGGTACAAGTAATTTCCAGTTCCGTTGAGTCCTATCAAAATCGACATCGACGAGAGTCGCTACCGCATTAGGGCAACTCCTTGATTTTCACGAGGTTTGGAGGATGTCTAAAAATCAGAATTCAGACGAGCTAGCGAGACCTTTTCAGTTCGGTAGGCTTGCAGAGGCCTTTAGGAACTAAGGGAGGCTAGCCGAGCATTTGAGAAGAAACCTACTCAAAACAAAACGATTCTCTGTGGCGCTGTGAATCGAAGCGAGGTGTGCCCCGTAGCCCCTGGCAAATCGCCTCGCCAGCGTCAAGGCTGAGAGTTGTAGTCGAGGCCAGTTGGTTTTTCTATCGAAATTGCACATGACTAGTTTCTTACGACCTACCGGGGTGTAATAACGGTATCCGGTGCCCTGGTAGAAGCTCCAGCCAGTGGGGGCAGCCTAAAAGCTACAATTTTCGTAAAATCAAGATCTAATAACCGTAAATCGGCGAACCCAAGCTCTCACAGTGAAAACGACATTAAAAACCCTAGTCAGAACTTTAAAAAGTAATTTCTATATCAAAGCTGCTGCTTCCCCCAAAGAAGCCAAAAACAATTTGCCTGCAGCAGGGGTCGAACCTGCGACCTTGGGCTTATTAGACCCACGCTCTAACCAACTGAGCTATGGCGGCTGTGCGGTGAGGGAAAGGAAAGGGGCTATGTGAGGCAGAGGGGAAGCACAGGCCAATCTCGGGTGGATACGTCTTTGCTCAACAAAAACCTAATTTGCAGGAATTAGGGAGATTTCGAATATTTTAAAACTTAAATCATGTAGATTATACTGAAATATGTCCCTGGAATTTAATAAACATCTAGGAAAAATAAAAAAGGCCGAAACTATAGAAAAGGCAGAAAAAATGCAAAAAGTATGGTTTTCATAGAGTTTTATCATCTTTTTACAGTTTTTTATCGGTTTAATGATTTGGAAAACTCACGAAAATCCGATTGATCCGAGATGGTGCAGATGAAGGGCCACTTCAGCTGGCATTTCGTCGAATACCAGGCAAAGTCGTTTCCCTGCATGTATGCGCAGTTTTGCCCAGGTAGGGTAGGCTCATTAGCTGAAATCAGAACAACGGTTTTTCAGCCAAGCCAATAAGTTCAGACTTAGCTTAGGCTTAGGTGAAGCTTAGACACAGCTCAGGCTTCGACTTAGCTTAAGCCAGCTCAGGCTTAAGTCAATAGAAAACACCTACGAGTCTTCCACTTCCGAGTATTTCAACGGCGTCCCATCTCCGTACATCCAAGTTCCGTTCAGCTGGATGACGCCAATCAGCGCGGCGTGGCCGCTGAGGACTGATAATTGGTTTTAAAGGGACTCGGAAGGGGGAAAAATACCGTCAAGAGCCTGGGATCCAGCTACAAGATTTTCGAATTGATTTTGCGCCTGGATGAGTCGGCCTCCCATAAGATGACAGAGACGTTGAGAGGTCGGATAGTCGGCTCCTGAAATGATTTAAAAATGATGACAAGTTCAAGACGTTCAGAGGAAGAGAGCCGGAGAGAGAGCGAGAGAGAGCGCGAGAAAGAAAGAGAGAAACATACCCGCATCAATGACCATCACGCACTCCTTCCCATCGCTGTAGTCGATCGAGCCGGGCGGGCAGTACTTGGCCGAGATGATGGCCAGCAGTACAGCAGAAAGTGCTAACCGCGGCAACATTTCCGATTTACTAAAATATCATTACTTTTAGTTCACTAACGGAAAACGGAATAAATTTATTACAGCCGCTGCTTATAGATAACATTTTAGTTTTGGTGACATTACGAAGCTAAGCCAAAGTCTAAGTCTAAACCTAAGCGTAAGCCGAATCTAAACCTGAGCACAAGCCTTAGTCTAAGCCTATGCCCAAGCCAAAGGCTAAGCCTAAGCCGAAGCTTAAGCCTAAGCCTGAAAGTATAAGCCAAAGCCTAAGCTACTGATCAAATTGTAAAGTCAATCAGAACGGTGCAGAGCTCCTCTGGGTCTGCGGTGTGGTTTTCTTCGAGGGAGGGCTTTTGTACCGTTATCTCGCATCATGGAATCAGGAATCAAACGAAACCCGAGGCCCCTTTTGGGGTCTTATCACCCCAATTAGTCATTAAAGCGCCACCCACACATTTCGGTGAGTTCTCGAGCTGGCGGATGATGATTATCCGTATCGCGAGCCGGGCGGGATGTCTGGAGTCCGGGGTACGTGTTTCCGTCACCATACTCTCTACGGAGCGCTGCTGATTGTGTGATCTACAGTAAAAGGCAGATAAAGTACTTTAAAGTACTTGGAGGCGGATGTAAACAGAAAAAAATAATAAAATTTGTGGAAAATACGTAAGTTTCAGTACTCAAAATTGTATCTGGACGGAAAATACATAAAATTTATTAAAACTAAACCTCAATTTTATATTTTAATGCAATTTTTACTTTGTAGTCGTTTTAATGGGACAAATAAGGCAGGACTATTTATTCGTAGGTTTAGGTTCTTCAGATATCTCTCTATCTCTCTCTCTCTCTCTCTCTCTCTCTCTCTCTCTGCCTCTCTCTCACTCATATCTTCCCCCCTTCTCTCTCCCGCTCTCCGCTCTCTCCCTCTCTCTCCTCCCCTCTCTCTCTCTCTCTCTCTCTCTCTCTCTCTCTGTCTCTCTCTCGCTATCTCTCCCTCTTCTCTTTCCCTCCTTCTCTCTCAACCTCTCCCACTCTCCTCCTGCTCTCTCTCGCTCTCTCGCTCTCTCTGTCTTCCTATCTATCTCATCCCTATCGCTTCAGCTCCTAAAGTTGCTCTCCACTCTCCTCATTTGGGACCTCCCAAATGTTCTCTGCTAGCTGGCCGCCTCCTTTATGAACGTCTTGAACTTGTGGTAACACGTTTTGGTCCGTAATATGTAAATTTTCGAACATATTAATCCATAAATTTATTCAATGCCTCCGGAATGCACTTTAGCAACAATTTGCTCCTCTGGATCATTCCTTCAATCGGAATTCTCTTGGTGGCCTGGCTGCCGGCGCGCCTCTTGCAGACGTAGCTGCCGAAGAGGTCGTCTTGGGCCAGTTGTCCCACTCGTCCAGGTAGCACAGCGGGTCGTTGACGAACTGAAATTAAAGATTAGCAAATTTAAATTGAGGTGGCAGGCTAGCAGAGATTCTTTAGGAAAGGGCAAGCTAGCAGAGTCCATTTGGGGATCCCAGGGCAGGCTAGCAGAGGTAATTTAAGAATTTGCCACTTACCCCATAGTATAAGCCCCACTGTTCCTGTGATCGTAATCAAAAAGCCGAGCCATCGGTCCAGTGCTCAGTTCCGGTGCCGTTGAGCCCGATCAGCACCTGGTTGAACGGCTTCCGGTCGCAGTTCTGCACGTTTTGATTTTCGCGCACCGACGCGACAAGGTCCTAAAAATTTAATTTGTTTTCAGGTACCTTGAAGAAAAAATCCATAATGAGTTTGACTTACTGAGCACCAATCGGTTCTCCTGGTCGCTGTGAATCGAGACGGTGAGCGCCTTGGGCCTGGCATCTTTGCTCACCGTCGTAGAGGCTGATGTTAAGGGGCTGATTCCGGTTGACGTTCTGAAGAGCTGGGTTCTGAGAGAGAGTGAACACAGAGAGAGCGAGAGAGAGAGAGAGAGAGAGAGAGAGAGAGAGAACAAAGAGAGAGAAGGAGAGAGAGAGAGGGAGAGAGAGAGAGGGATAGAGAGACCGAGAAACTTACCGGAGTCCAGTAGCACGAGCTGGTGCGTTGATAGAATTTCCAGCCATTAGGGCAGTCTAAAAAGATGTATTTTGCAGGATTACGAAAAACAAGCTAGCGGAGAATTTTTGCGGAAAAGAGGATAGGAGGCGAGGCAGACAAAAAGCGAGAAAAGAGAGAGAGGTGAGGAGAGAGTGAGCTGAGAAACGAGAGAAGCACCAAAAGGCAACCTAGCAGAGATTCTTGGCGGAATAACCCTCACTTCCATCCCTTCCATCCGGGAACGTGCAGATGAAGGGCCACTTCAGCTCGCACTTTGTCGAATACCACGAGAAGTCGTTGCCCTGCATCATGGCGCAGTCAAAGCCGACTTGATTTGTCTCATTCGCTAAAATTCGAGGTGTACATCGCGTACTTTAAATGGACAGTGACAGCAAAGAAAAAAATCTTGGACTTACCGCTCTTCCACTTCTGGAACGTCAATGGTGTTCCATCGGCGTAGCTCCAAGTTCCATTAATTCTGCGAATGCCGATGAAGGTGGATTTGCCGGCGAGGACTGAAAAGCCGAGCTAGATAGGAGAGAGCTTAGGTTTGGGCTTAGGCTTGGCTTAGGCTTAGGTTCAAGCTTCAGCTTCGGCTTAATCAGTTCTACAACCTACCATCAAAAAGTTGGGACCCAGCGGCAATATTCTCGAACTGATTCTTCGTCGGATTAGTCGACCTCCAATAAGGGAGCAGATCTGGCCGGCCTGATTGAAGTCGGCGTCTAAAGGAGCGCTTGAGGCAAAATCCATAGTTTTTTACCCGCATCAATGGCCATCACGCACTCCTGAGCATCCCCATAATCGATCGAGCTCCCCGGACACGAGCTTTGAGCAAGAGCTAGGCTTAGAAGAAGGGCAGAGATGGCGAGTAACCGGAGCATTATCTGAAAAAAACGCTATGGTCAGCGATTATGACATGAAAAATGCTAGAACGGGTCAAGGAATTGAAACGAAGCCTAAGCCTAAGCCTGCCCTAAGCCTAAGCCTAAGCCTGCCCTAAGCCTAAGCCTAAGCCTAAGCCTAACCTAAGCCTAAGCCCAAGCCTAAGCCTAAGCCTAAGCCTAAGCCTAAGCCTAAGCCTAAGCCTAAGCCTAAGCCTAAGCCTAAGCCTGAGCCTGAGCCTGAGCCTAAGCCTACCCTAAGCCTAAGCCTAAGCCTAAGCTTAAGCCTAAGCCTAAGCCTAAGCCTAAGCCTAAGCCTAAGCCTAAGCCTAAGCCTGAGCCAGACAATATACGTTAAGAAAGTGATAGTGGTATTGGATCTAGCAAAATTATCGTTTACGACATGATATATATAACGAGAAAGTACCTCCCACTACCACCCAAACCCCGACCGCAATTTGGAGCTCTTCGGAACGTGAGTGCAGGCGAGGGCTTTATGTACCCCGCTATCTCCAAAGCCGCGCCGTTTCCAAAAATCACCCATCACACCCCATCCATTCCTTATCTCGATTCATTAGTCATTAAACGTGCCCCGGCTCCTTCCAACGAAACTCCCACACGATTTCCGGGCCAATTCTGTGGTTCCTATAATCATCACTATTCGTATCGGGTGGCCTCTCCTGATTGAGTGGGATGTATGGGGGTCAATCTGTAAACAACGAATAGGGATAATTGAGGAAAAAAGTGACAGAGATTCTTTACGAAAGGGCAGGCTAGCAGAGATTTTTTAGTATATGGCAGGCTAGCAGAGTTGCCATAGGAAAGGGCAGAATAGCAGAGATTCCTTAAGAAAGGGAAGGCGAGCAGAGATCGTTTGGGAACTTTTCCCTTGTCTGTATCTTAAAAACGATAGCCCCCGGGTCAAACATGGACCCCGAAGAAAAGCTGATGCTTCAGAAATTTTTTGGGTTTTGGTGTCGAATAAGCTTATTTTCGTATGGTATTGAACTACGTTAAACTCACTGTAATGACGGATTTGGAATTTCTGTAACGACCAATCCAATCGATTACGATATGTAACTCCGTGTGGAAGGACTTTAAATTCCTACAATTACTAAGCCCTTTATTTCGGCAAATCATTGCTTTGTCTCTTCTGCCAAATCGACTTCCTCCCAGTCGTCTTCTGCGCCAATTTCTTGCAGACATAACTTCCATAAACATCGTCACGATTCCAGTTGTCCCATTCGTCAATCCAGCAAAGCGGGTCGTTGTAAAACTAGAAAAAAATAGGCTGAAAATTGTTAAAAATGCGTGTTATTTTAATATCATAGTTATTATAGTGTTTAGGGCTCAAAACATAGTTTTTAAAAAATTAGACAAAGAAATAATTCTAGTAAAAGGAATCCAGCACGATTTGTAAACGATGTAATTGAAAACGTTAGCTGAACGTTTAGGCCTATTCATGAGACGATTTAAAGCTAACAATAAGAGTATATACTTCCAAAATACTTGCAAAAGCATCCAAAACCCTTTCCCAAATTTCCCAAAAAGCAAAAACTTTTTGCACGCGCCGGGATTCGAACCCGGGTCTCCGCATTGGGGGTGCGGCATGCTGTTACCATTGCACCACACGTGCCTATCGATGGGGAGGGGTGGGGTTGATAAGGGGACGGGATCACCGGCGGCCGCCCAGACGCCCAGGGCGCCGCGGCGCACCAATGGTATCACGGGGCCAGAAAAGTATCGATTTTTGCAGTTTTCTTTGGATTCAATGGCGTAATATGACGTAAATCGGTTTATAAGTGGTACCATTCGATCCAGCTCGTCAAGGGCTTTCAAACGAGGTGCAAAAAGCCATGAATAATTGGCAGAAACTCAGAAATTCCCCTCATTTATTCAACGGTCAACAGCGCAAAACGGAAAAGTGTGTAATAATTCCACATCAATACAGGCGATTAAGGATGGATACAAGTCGGTGGGAGTAGCTTAAGATTGGCGGCACAGGAAGCTGGGCGGCCGTTCTGGCGGCCGCGAGAAGCCGCATTTTCCTGAAAAAATTTTTTAGTCGAAATTTGGTTGGAATATCGGCCATTTTCGTCGAAATATCGAGGTTTTTGTATTTTTAGCAAAAAAATGTGTAAAGTTTTTAGGTTTATAAATAGTAAAAATAGTTTAAACCTTCAAAAAACCTTAAAAAAGCCCCCGATATTGCAAAAGAACCTAAATCCCCGGACCCTCGCTGACGGTCCAGGTCGCGGCGCATCTTCCGGTTGGTCGCCTCGGCCCGTTTCAGCTCCTCCTTCAGCCGTTCCACCGTGCCGCGCCTGAACTTTGCTGGAGTCGTCGGGAAGCCGGGAGCTCACTGGTGTCCACCTGCTGCTCCAGCGCCACCTTCAGCCTGGCCAGCTCGGCGCAGTCGGCGTCGATCAGCTCGGTGTCGGCCTGGGAGTGTTTTGAGCATCTACTGACCAAGAACTGCCAATACGAGGGGCGTGGATCTGCTGCAGCTCACGGAGTCGATCCGCTCCCGTCATGTGCGAGCGTTCAGGAGGTTGGTCACCGACTGCGTGGTGGCCGTCATGGACTAGAGAAAAATTAGAGTGAGGGAGAGAGAGAGAGCGAGAGAGAGAGAGAGACAGGCAGAGCGAGAGGTGCTACACCTGACCTGCTCGCCCATGGTGTTCGCCTTCTCGAGGCTGGCCACCGTCGTGTCCAGCTGCAGAACAGGGCCTGGATGTGGGCGGGGTCGTGGTGTTTTGGCCCAGAACTGCAAGTTGATCATTGATAGGAGCCGGGTCTTCTGAACACCTTGGTGACGTTCTGGACCTCGGGGGCCACCTCGAGGGCCTGGACGACGACGATATGACGGGGGTCGAAGCGGTTGTCGACCAGCTCGATTTTTACCTGAAGGGGAAGAAGATGAGAGAGCGCGAGAGAGTGAGAGAGAAGAGAGAGTGAGAGAGAGTGGTCATCTACCTCCACCGGATCCTGGTTCACAGGATTCCGCCATTCGGCGAGCAGATGTACCGCGTTGGCGCGTTGGTCTGCACCCGCCAGGCGATCGGGGACTAAAATCGGGACTAGTTGAGAGAAGGAGAGTGAGAGAGGTGAGAGAGTGAGGGAGAGAGAGAGCGAGAGAGCGAGAGAGCGAGGCCAACCTTGATATGCGGTGATCGGTGGATGGAGATGGTCTGCGAGGCGTTCGTCGGCTGCTCGACGTCGAACAGGATCAGCGTCTGGAAGCAGTACAGTAGAGCAATTAAAACTAGCTCTACTACAAAACAGTACGAACTGCTACAACTTCCGCTGCTTCGAAATCGCTCTAAAATACCTGGTCGAGGATGATGAAATTCGGGTTGACCGTCTCCATGGCCATCCAGGGAGGAGAATCATTTGGAAGCTGAGGTTAACCATTCTGAAAGGCCTATTCTGTATAATTATGCAAATTTTGGTGTGCAGAAGCGATCTAACAGAGATTGTTTTGGAATTGAAAGGGCAAGCTAGCAGAGATCACTTGTATTTTGGAGTCAAAAGTCTCAATGCAAAAGCTTTATTAACACCATTTTAATGGCACTTCCGGGGATATTTAGGCAAAGGCGAATGCGTGCGGCGGCTCCTCGTGAGCGCCATTTCCACCATCGGACTTCTTGTGGCCGCCGCCGAGCTTGTCCTGGAACATTTATTGCATTAACGGGGTCAGAAAGGCAAGCCTAAGCCTAAGCGTAAGTGTAAGTGTAAGCCTAAGCTTAAGCCTAAGCCTAAGCCTCAACCCACCCCATCGCGCTTCAGCTTATGGCCACCCTCCGCTCCGTGAGCAGCAGCTTGCGGCACGTAGGCGGCAATGGCGACTAGCAGAAGGCACAGGACGAAGAAGAAGCGCATGGTTGGTAGTGGTAGTTGGTAGTGGAAAGGAGTGTAAGGTACTCATCCCCAGGAAAGCTAGGCTTTTATAGCAAAGTCTAGCTGTAGTATCTGACAAGTCCTAGGCCTGGAAAATTCCGCGTCACTCCTTTGGCGGCCGCCGCGGTCAAAGCACGGCTCGGCTTTGAAGTCAGAATTTTTAGCGCGTCCAAAAATTTTGAGTTTTAAGATTTGTAAATATTTTGGTGTGCTGTTTTGGAAATTCTAGATGACGTGAGGTGTGGTTGTTTCGTTGGGCACGGCACTGGGCTGTTAGCGGGGGGAGCAGAGAGTTATTTCCCTTTTCAATTATACGTTTTACTAATGACAAGCGTACTTTCAGAGTATTCTGATAATTTTTGAAGGCTAGGAAATTTAAGCTATCCGGAAAAATCCAAAAATAAATCTTTTCATGTACTTCTTCGTGTGAGCCAGAAACTGAAAATATTTGCAATTTTTACTGTTTTAACGGGTTTTCGATGCCTAAAAACTTTGTAAAATGTCAGAAAAATGGCTTTTAATGCATTGCGATTTTTAAAGGTGATGTTAAGAGCCCCCCCGCTAACAGACCAGTACTTGCATCACCGAAACACAACCACCCCACGTCAGATACACTTCCGAAATCGGCACGAAAGGATTTTCAAATTTTACAACTCAAAATTCTTGGACTACTTAAAAATTCCTGCTTCAAAGCCGGGCCGTGCTTTGACGGGGCGACCGCCAAAGGAGTGATGCGGAATTTTTGGGGCCTGAATTTTGGGAGAGACAGCGAGACTTTGCTATAAAAGCCTAGCCCTCACGGAGATGAGTACTTTACACTCCTTTCCACTACCAACCACCACTACCAACAATGCGTTTCTTCTTCGTCCTGTGCCTCCTGCTCGTCGCCATTGCCGCCTACGTGCCGCAAGCTGCTGCTCACGGAGCGGAGGGTGGCCATAGGCTGAAGAGCGATGGGGTCAGTTGGGGATTGGGCCTAGGCTTAGGCTTGGTTTGAGCTTAGGTTTAGGCTTAGGCTTAATCTTATGCTTAGTAAAGGCTTCGACGTAGGCTTAGGCTTGACTTAGGCTTCGAGGTAGGCTTGGGTTTGGTATCCTTGAGTTAGCCTAGCCTTCTTAGTCCCTTTAATTCTGTAAATTTTCTAGGACAAACTTGACGGCGGCCACAAGAAGTTCGACGGCGGAAATCACGCTCACGGAGAGGACAAGCCGCCGCACGCCTTCGCTTTTGCCTAAATGCTTCCAGAAGTGCCATTGAAATGGTGCTAATAAAGCTTTATCATCGATACCTTAGTTGTCAGTCTCGCAGTGTCCAAAAGTCATCGCTTTTTGATGCTGTATTTCGGCAAGTACACAATTAATTATCTTTATCAAGAAAACAATCTTTTATTCATTTTCGCACTCCTCGTCCTTCAGCCCTTCTCCAACAACACCGGTGATGGTGGAACAGAGGCTGCCACCGGCGGCGGAGACACAGATAGATGGTTTCGGGCAATCCGAATTCGTTGAGCAGTGGATACGGTCACCATTCGGGAGCGACACGGTGTCCACCTTAAAGAAAATAACGATTTCCCAAATGATCGTTGCTAGCCTGCGCTTTCTTAAAGAATCTCTGCTAGCCTGCCCTTTCCTAAAGAATCTCTGCTAGCCTGCCCTTTCCTAGAGAATCTCTGCTAGCCTGCCCTTTCCTAAAGAATCTCTGCTAGCCTACCCTTTCCTAAAGAATCTCTGCTAGCCTGCCCTTTCCTAGAGAATCTCTGCTAGCCTGCCCTTTCCTAGAGAATCTCTGCTAGCCTGCCCTTTCCTAAAGAATCTCTGCTAGCCTGCCCTTTCCTAGAGAATCTCTGCTAGCCTGCCCTTTCCTAAAGAATCTCTGCTAGCCTGCCCTTTCCTAAAGAATCTCTGCTAGCCTGCCCTTTCCTGAAGAATCTCTGCTAGCCTGCCCTTTCCTAAAGAATCTCTGCTAGCCTGCCCTTTCCTGAAGAATCTCTGCTAGCCTGCCCTTTCCTAGAGAATCTCTGCTAGCCTGCCCTTTCCTAAAGAATCTCTGCTAGCCTGCCCTTTCCTAAAGAATCTCTGCTAGCCTGCCCTTTCCTAGAGAATCTCTGCTAGCCTGCCCTTTCCTAGAGAATCTCTGCTAGCCTGCCCTTTCCTAAAGAATCTCTGCTAGCCTGCCCTTTCCTAGAGAATCTCTGCTAGCCTGCCCTTTCCTAAAGAATCTCTGCTAGCCTGCCCTTTCCTAAAAAATCTCTGCTAGCCTGCCCTTTCCTAGAGAATCTCTGCTAGCCTGCCCTTTCCTAAAGAATCTCTGCTAGCCTGCCCTTTCCTAAAGAATCTCTGCTAGCCTGCCCTTTCCTAGAGAATCTCTGCTAGCCTGCCCTTTCCTAAAGAATCTCTGCTATTCTGCCACAAAACTTACTCCTCCGGGCACTATTCCGGTGTTCAATGCGGCTTTTTTGTAGAGCAGAGCCGTGGCGACGGCGAGGAGAAGACAAAAGACCAGCAGATATTTCATGTTTGCGGCACAGCGACACGTGTGCGTTCGACACCTCTGTACCCCTTTTATAAACCTAACCTATAAATTATAAAGTCAATATCGGCTGCCGTCTGCGCCGGCCTTTCCGCTCAAAAACATGCTTTGATGTGGTCAGTCCGCATAAATTTGAGGTACCTTTAGTTTTGAAGATGTTTCCTAAGAAAAATTGGATTTTTGAAGAGCTAAATTTTAACCTGGGTCGTGCGAGTGAGGGAGAGAGAGAGAACGAGCATGAGCGGCTGAAAAATAGTGTGAGAATGAGAGAGAGAGTTAGAGAGAGAGAGAGAGAGAGAGAGAGAGAGAGAGAGAGAGAGAGAGTAAAAAAATGGAGCCCCACACCGGCTCCCATCAAAAATCTGAATTTCAAATCTTCCGAAACGATCCCAGACCAGGAAACTTTGCGGAAAAGCTGCAGTTTCGAAAATGACAGTATCACTACAGAAATTGTCTATTATTTTTCTCTTTTTGTTCAAAATTTGTAACGCAGATACGGTAGGCGAGCACAAATTTCTATAAATTATCTAAGTTTTCAGGCCTACGACTGCAAAGCCCACCTGAGCTGTAGACCGGGGGAATGGTGTACGGAGGCAAAAATATGTCAGGTCAGCGGGAGAGAGAGAGCAAGAGGGAGAGAGATCGAAAGAGCGAGAGCAACAAAGAAATAAACCAGCTTTTAGCCAATCCCCTACATGCGATGTCTGACCCGCGTCGACTGCCCGGATCAGTTAAATCACGTCTGCTATCACAGCTACGCGTACGGCCCACTAGGCATGTGTAAAGTGTAGCGTACCGTAGTAAAATCAACTATAATAAAAAAGTAGAGACGTCCGTCCGTCCGTGTGTGTGTCTGAAGCCGAATTCAACTCGAAGGGGAAAGGAGCTAGAGCTTAGGTCTCTTCGGATTCGGATAGAGCGTGGTCAGAAACCCCCAAACTGATAAAAAAATTACGAAAAAGTTTTTGTTTAAATTATTAAAATTAACTTTGAAAGTGGCGCCTTAATAAAACGAGTGGGGGCCCCTCTCCCCGGGAGGCCACGCCCCCTTTCTCTTCGCCCCTCTTCCCCAGGCCCCTTCGCGCGCCCAGATGCCTTTTTGAGTTACTTTAATACTTTTAATACTTTTTAATTATGTTAATTAATTATTTAAATTATTTAAAGTATCTAAAGCCATCAGGAAGGTATTGAGGTAGTTTTGAAGGGATTTCAGCCATGGGGGTATCTGGAAGCCATCAGGAAGGTATTTAGGTAGTTTTTGAAGGGATTTCAGCCATGGGGGTATCTGAAGCCATCGGGAAGGGATTTAGGTAGTTTTTGAAGGGGATTTCAGCCATGGGGGGTATCTGAAGCCATCAGGAAGGTATTTAGGTAGTTTTTGAAGGGGATTTCAGCCATGGGGGGTATCTGAAGCCATCGGGAAGGGATTTAGGTAGTTTTTGAAGGGGATTTCAGCCATGGGGGGTATCTGAAGCCATCAGGGAGGTATCTAAGTAGTTTTTGAAGGGGATTTCAGCCATGGGGGTATCTGAAGCCATCGGGAAGGGATTTAGGTAGTTTTTGAAGGGGATTTCAGCCATGGGGGGTATCTGAAGCCATCGGGAAGGGATTTAGGTAGTTTTTGAAGGGGATTTCAGCCATGGGGGTATCTGAAGCCATCAGGGAGGTATCTAAGTAGTTTTTGAAGGGATTTCAGCCATGGGGGGTATCTGAAGCCATCGGGAAGGGATTTAGGTAGTTTTTGAAGGGGATTTCAGCCATGGGGGTATCTGAAGCCATCAGGGAGGTATCTAAGTAGTTTTTGAAGGGGATTTCAGCCATGGGGGTATCTGAAGCCATCGGGAAGGGATTTAGGTAGTTTTTGAAGGGATTTCAGCCATGGGGGTATCTGAAGCCATCAGGGAGGTATCTAAGTAGTTTTTGAAGGGATTTCAGCCATGGGGGTATCTGAAGCCATCAGGGAGGTATCTAAGTAGTTTTTGAAGGGATTTCAGCCATGGGGGTATCTGAAGCCATCGGGAAGGGATTTAGGTAGTTTTTGAAGGGGATTTCAGCCATGGGGGGTATCTGAAGCCATCAGGGAGGTATCTAAGTAGTTTTTGAAGGGGATTTCAGCCATGGGGGGTATCTGAAGCCATCGGGAAGGGATTTAGGTAGTTTTTGAAGGGGATTTCAGCCATGGGGGGTATCTGAAGCCATCAGGGAGGTATCTAGTAGTTTTTGAAGGGATTTCAGCCATGGGGGGTATCTGAAGCCATCAGGAAGGGATTTAGGTAGTTTTTGAAGGGGATTTCAGCCATGGGGGTATCTGAAGCCATCAGGGAGGTATCTAAGGAGTTTTTGAAGGGGATTTCAGCCATGGGGGTATCTGAAGCCATCAGGGAGGTATCTAAGTAGTTTTTGAAGGGATTTCAGCCATGGGGGGTATCTGAAGCCATCAGGGAGGTATCTAAGTAGTTTTTGAAGGGGATTTCAGCCATGGGGGGTATCTGAAGCCATCGGGAAGGGATTTAGGTAGTTTTTGAAGGGGATTTCAGCCATGGGGGTATCTGAAGCCATCAGGAAGGTATTTAGGTAGTTTTTGAAGGGGATTTCAGCCATGGGGGTATCTGAAGCCATCAGGAAGGTATTTAGGTAGTTTTTGAAGGGGATTTCAGCCATGGGGGGTATCTGAAGCCATCAGGGAGGTATCTAAGTAGTTTTTGAAGGGGATTTCAGCCATGGGGGATATCTGAAGCCATCAGGAGGTATTTAGGTAGTTTTTGAAGGGGATTTCAGCCATGGGGGTATCTGAAGCCATCAGGAAGGTATTTAGGTAGTTTTTGAAGGGGATTTCAGCCATGGGGGGTATCTGAAGCCATCAGGAAGGTATTTAGGTAGTTTTTGAAGGGGATTTCAGCCATGGGGGGTATCTGAAGCCATCAGGAAGGTATTTAGGTAGTTTTTTTGAAGGGATTTCAGCCATGGGGGGGTATCTGAAGCCATCAGGGAGGTATCTAAGTAGTTTTTGAAGGGGATTTCAGCCATGGGGGATATCTGAAGCCATCAGTGAGGTATTTTGGTAGATTTTTAACGGAATTTCGACCCGGAGGGGTATCTGAAGCCATCAGTGTAGTTATTGCCATGAAGGCATCAGCGTAAGGTAGGGATTAAATGTGGTGGTGTAGAATATGGAGGGTGGCCCGAAGTCCAGCCGATTGCAGTCGCGAAGCGGCTGTAATCGGCTGGTACATCACAAAGATGCACAAAAACAACACACAAAAATAATTCAAAGCATTTATGCTCATCGAGAGGCTAATGTGCGGGTCGGGCGATTTGGGTCCTTCGGAATTGCGGCTTGATCGGCTTGGTGTTGGTGTTCATCGTCTGGTTAGGCGGCTTCTTCTTGGGGGGAGCCGCTGGATGAGGACTGAAAACGGCGAAATTTAACAGGTCGTGAATGATCTCCGCTAGCCTGCCCTTTCCTAAAGAATCTCTGCTCGCCTGCCCCTAATTCCCAAACATCCTCTGCTAGCTATACCTATTTACCGTCTTTTGGCTGCTGCCGTTGGCCGCGTTGGCGTCGCCGCTTCTCCGCGCCTTCTGCGCCCCCTCGGCGAACACGTTCAGCAGGTGCATGTAGAGGCTCGGGCGGCTTACCTAAAAATCGCCTTAAAACTCCGAAAAATCCGCAACCAACCTTGCTGACGACGGTCTGGCGCTCGGAGGTGGTGTCGGGGCCCACCTGCACGTGGATGAAGCTGAAAAGCGTCGGAATTTTGATAAAAAGCAGCTCGACAGCGAGATAAAGCACCGAAAAGGATGGCACAGGTGGTAAAAAGCGGATAAGAGCCATTTCTATACTTATACGTAGTCGAAAAAGCTAAAACAATTTGCCGCCAGCAGGGGTCGAACCTGCGACCTTGGGCTTATTAGACCCACGCTCTAACCAACTGAGCTATGGCGGCTGCGGGGTGAGGGGAGGGAAAGGATTACTTCCGAGTTGGGGGAGGGGGAAGGGCGAATCAGCACGCCCATGTTGGCATACCAGTCTAGGGGTGGAACTGATAAGCTGACAAGCCAAAATGGGTTACTGTCAAATTTCAAGCGTATTACGATAGCTAATAGGACAGAGTTTAGGTGCCGCAGAATTTCCATGTAATATTACGACATTTAAAATGTCACTCACTGGAGCTCTCAATTTTGGTATAACGTCGATAAAACAAGTACCTACCGTTTTCCCTCCAGAATTATGGTAATTCACGTCAATATCGTCAAAAATTACAAAAAATGCTTATGTAACATTCAGCCTAGATTACGGTATTTCCGATCGCCAAGTGTTTCGTCGATATCCTTGCTTAAGTTAGATACCTTAAGGAGGGAGGGATACCTGGGGCAAATTGCATAATTTAGGTATCAAAGGTGAGTCCCATTTGATTTTACGAAAATTCCACAACTAGCGCGCCGTAAATTGCAGCCGAACGTACAGCCAAAGCGCGGCGAACGTCTCCGGGTATCGGCTGCTGAGGATGTCGGCATGCCCGGCTCCCTCAACGACGCACACCGGGTTCGACGGCTGCGCGGACGAGGGTAGCATCTGGAAAATGGGGTACTGTAATTTTAGGAAGTTTCTTAAGATATCTCTAATCAAAGTTTGAAATTAATTTTCAAAGTGAAACGCTCAATACCACTCCTCAATTTACACTCTGTTCGTGTGAATTTGTGCCGTTTCTCTTCTCTCTCTCTCTCTCTCTCTCTCTCTCTTTGCCAGCCGGGTTATCGATTTTGCTTGGGGCCACCCACTGGGTCTTTAGGGCCCTGGGGCCCAGTCCTTTCCAACGCCCCCACCCCCATGTAGGTCCAAAATAACCACTAATTCTCCATTAAAAAAGCTATACCTATTCAACTCCCCTAAATTCTGCTAATTATTTCCTATTTTACACTTCTGTCACCCGGCTCTTCAATGCGTAAAAGTAAGTGTTTTTATTGGTCGGCTAGTCTATAGTCAGGAAGTCCGTTCAAATCAATAAAACTAAAAAAACCCAATCCATATAGCCCTTTATTAAAAGCAGACGCCAAAAGACTACAACATCAAAAACCCCACTCAGAAAAACGGAAAAGACGCCTAAATTTGGGCTGAAAAAAACCCCCATACAACGCTACAGAATCCATGGGTATCTCTAGTTAAATTCAACCGCTCATGGTTAAATTTTCACCACCCAATTCAGAAAATTTAACCGTTTGTTTAAGTGATTTGAAATTATGGCTCGTCGGCGGACTCCGTCTGGCTGGTGTCACGAGGGCGGCCAGGGATGGCGGTTCAGGGCGGCCATTGGGAGGCCATTGGGAGTAGTTGGCAGAGTGTCGGGCCGTGTTTCTCGGTGTCTCTTTTACCGAGTTTCCTCCTCTGTCTTGGCCTCCCAATGGCCGCCGTGAACGCCGGAACGCCTGCCTCCATCCTTGCCATCCCTGGCCTCCCCTCCTCGTGACGCCAGCCAGACAGAGCCCGCCGACCACATATAAAACCCTGGCCGAACACACGAACGGCAGTCTTCCCAATAACCTTTTGAGCACTGTGTATACCGCGCTGTTGGAGAAATAAAGTGTATATAAAAGAGTAAGAGACACAGTACGAAACCGGGCCACAACACAGAGGAAGATTAAAAAAAACAACGATACAAGTGGTCGTTGTAGAGACCCCACAAAATGGTGCGTTCAATTGGTGCCACCCATTGGCCATGGGTCAAAAAAATAAAGGTAATATTTACATACAGACAATTTAAAAACCCAGCGCAACGCTTTAGCTGCTGGTAGCCTTTCACCACTCCTCCTCTAGAGGCGGAGAAAGGAAAAAAACACATGAAAAGGCATAGGCTTAGGCTCAGGTTTATACAGGCAAGCCAAAGTTTAAGCTGAGCACGAAATACACCATAAAATACCACAAAAAGTAGTTTGTGAGTCTGTGCTCTGGAAGGACGATTTAGATACGGATTTCGCGTTTTCGCAGAACGGATCCCCTCACTCTCTCTCTCACTCTCTCGCGCGCTCTCTCTCTCTCTCTCTCGCTCTCTCTCTATCTCGCTATCTCTATCTCTCTCTCACTCTCCCTCTCGATCCCTTTCAATCGTTCTCGATCTCTCGCTGCCTCTCGCTGCCTCTCTCTCTCTCTCTCTCTCTCTCTCTCGTCACCTTGTAAATCTGGCCTAAAGCCCCGAAATTATTATAACCGGCGTTTGTTCCCAGATTTAGGCCAGGTACCTGGTTTTTATTTTTATTTTTTTACGCTAAAAATGGCGCGAGAAAAAAGTGACTCGCCTATTCCCTGGGAAAAAATAAGCCCAACCGGAAGTGACAAAAAGATGGACCAGTAAGCCTCAGCTCCAAAAAAAAAGGAAATGAGGAAAAAATGGAGCGAAAAGAGGCATGGCCCGACAAAAAAAAACTAAAGGCGAAGCTGGTCCCAAACGTTTGAAAGCTGTATTTTTGATCAGGGGCTGAACGTCGTCAAGAAGCGAAAGAACAACAACGACTCGCAAAAGATGGGGGCCAAAAGCGGGAAAAAGGCCATTGCCAGAAGTTAGTAGAAGCAGCAAAACGGATATCTCAAAGCCGTTGCGAAGAACGAGATAAGACGACGACTTCAAGCAGTTCAAGGATATATCCTAAACGCCAAGCTCAAGTCGTCCAAACCAACTTGACAATTGACGTCCAGAAGCGAGTCTATCACGAAGGAGTGTTCACTTGAAAGCCAGGTTTGCTAGGCTGTCTTCAAAAGCTATGTCGAGGCGAAGAAATTCGAGCCGTTCAGCAAGAACATACTGAGGAACTGGTCTGAAAAGAACTAACGGCTTCCGGACGTTTTGCAAAATCACACCGACAAGATCTGATCCCGCTGCAGAAAGCCCTGATCTACCTGGCTTGATAGTCTACTTTCTGCGTTCTTCCCGACATCTGGCTTCTACGGTTAATGACAATGTCACATCACACTTATTTTTTCTTTCTTGATGTAATAAAATAATTTGTTAAGTTACGGTACCTTACGTGATACCTTTAAATGCACCGGAATGCATCAATAAAACCAAAATCAGGGCTTTTTGTTGGAGTTAGTCTTATAGACAAACGAAAGAGGTGAAGGAAATTGAATTTAAGGTCTCGAGGAGGGCAGGCTAGCAGAAGCCCTTTAGGATGTCGTGAGGTCCTGCCTTGTGGAGAGCGTGTGAGTGAGAGATGGGGCAGGTCTGGTCGCGGGTGCCGTGGAGGAAGAGGACGGGGACGCCGACACGTTGGATCTTGTCGTACCTAAAGAGTAGGCATGCAAGAGAGGTGGAGAGAGAGAGAGAGAGAGAGAGAGAGAGAGCGCGAGAATCCGCACGTCGGGAACACGTCGCAGAAGCGCGTTTCCGGCGCCTGGGGTGCCCCCTTCAGCAGTCGAAGCCCAGAAGCGAACGGGCAGATCAGCGCCACCCCGGCGAGAGCGTCCGGATGCCGCGCGGCCAGGTCCGTGGAGACGGCCGTGCCGATGCTGAACCCGATCAGGACGATCTGAGGGCAACTTGAAAATGGTGTGCAGCTACAATACCTTCTTCTCCGGCTGCTCGGCACGTATCAAGTCGTACGCGGCGCGCACGTCGGCGTACGCGTTCTTCTCGCCGGGCGTGCCGCGACTGCAACCGAATCTGGAAAGATCGATAAGCGGGTTAAAATAAGCTCAGTGATCTACCCCGAGTAGTCGTAGGCGTAGACCTCAACTTGGAGCAGGTCGGCCATCGTCTAAGAAAGATCATCAACTCAAAAGATAGCTCGGGAAATTGATACCTGAACATTTGCCATGTTCGGGTAGCAGAAGAGGCCGATGTCCGAGCTGTTCGGCTGCGAGAAGAGGACCACCTGGGAGCAGAGATTTTTTAGGAAAGGGCAGGCTAGCAGAGATTCTTTAGGAAAGGGCAGGCTAGAAGAGATTCTTTAAGACGCGAAACCAGCACCACATTCGCGTTATGGTCAAAACGCGGATCCGGAGCGGGCCGGGCCCGGACGACGACGATCCGATTGCCGCGCGACGTCTTCGGGGCGTACGCGTCGAGGTTGCGCATCAGCTCCTAAAGGGAGTGGGACAGTGCCGCCAAGGTGTTCAGCACCAACCTGTCGGAAGGTCAGATGGGTGGTGTTAGGCGGCGGGGTCAAGAAGAACGGCTCGCCTTTCACCTGAAAGTAGGGATAGAGAGAGAGAGAGAGAGAGAGAGAGAGAGAGAGAGAGAGAGAGGGGGAGAGAGGAGAGAGAGAGAGAGAGAGAGAGAGAGAGAGAGAGAGAGAGAGAGATAGCGTTACCTTTGAAACGTTCTTGCACACGCTGCCGTCGACCCGTTCCAGCATGTAGTGGCGGCCGCGGGGCGGCGGATGGAAGGCCAGCTTCCGGACCATACAGGAGGGAAAAGGCGGGCACAGCACCCAGCAGAGGCCACCGAGCAGCTGGAAGAATATGGATTAAGCCTAAGCCTAAGCCTAAGTCTAAGCCTAAGCCTAAGCCTAAACCTAAGCCTAAGCCTAAGCCTAAGCCTAAGCCTAAGCCTAAGCCTAAGCCTAATCTAAGCCTAAGCCTAATCCTAAGCCTAAGCCTAAGCCTAAGCCTAAGCCTAAGCCTTACCTTCCAGATCGTGATCTGCGGCGGAGGGTCGATGCCGTCGTCGTCGGCTCGCTGCTTGTCATGCTGAAAAAGGTAATAAAAAACACACAGAAACATAGCAAAAAAAACGCCAGAAAACTCTAACCGTCGAATCAGCACCGGTCATTCCACGAAACGAATAGCCCACGCACGAAAAGTAAAAGTGCTAGAGTTGATAAAAAAGGGAGGCAAGCAAATAATACGAAAAATGGGGGGTCTGGCGAGCTGTTTGATAGTCTGGAGATGACCGGAAATTGGTACATGGGTATGCAAATTAAATTAGGATAATTTTATCTTTTTTTCTCTCAAGATCTCTATCACTCTCTCTCACTCTCTCGCTCTCTCGCTCTCTCTTCGATTCGACGTTTCTTTCGACATCCAAAAAACTAAAAAAAAAACAATAAGAAAAGGACACATTATAAAATCAACAGCCCTCGACATTAACCCGGCCCAAATGCCAAAAAAAACTTGGTCTAATGTATAATAACAGGCCAACTTTGCTATATAAGTAAGCTTCCTCTCAAGAGCTTTAAAAATATGACCCAAATTTTTCTCTTATCCGGCCTGGTGTCCTGCTTCGTGGCCGTTGCCGCCTGCTGCAAGGGCGAAGGGGTATGATAGCTTACTACAGCTTAAATCTCTGGTTTTAAGATACCGTAGCTACCTTAGTGCCAAAGTAGCTTAAAATCGACATTTATAAGACTTTTCAGTGCATAGCATTGCCGTGCAAGAGGTCGACAAGTGACTGCGTCAAGGGCAGCTACTGCAAGGATCAGCGATGTCAGGTATTCTCTCTCCCTCTATCTCTGTCTCCCTCACTCTCTCTCTCTCTCTCTCTCTCTCTCTCAGTCTTTCTCTATCTCAATACAGATCCCTTTAGGTACTCCCCGACGGCGCATGCGTCCGCGATGAAGACTGCCCTAGCGGCAAGTGCGAACCGATCGCCTGCGGCCCACCGGACGCTCTTAACGAGTGTCTGGCGCCAACGAAGGACTCGAAGCTCATCTCGGAGTCCAAGGCTATGGTAGGGCTTCGTTTAGGGCCAGCAGAGATAATTTTGAACGCAAAGGAATGCTAGCAAAGATCATTTGTACTATTTCAGTGCCGTAAGCTCAAGTTGAAGGCCCCGCAGGCGTGCAACGTCAACTCGGACTGCTCGAAGGGGGACTACTGCCACATCAAGGAGAATGGCGATCGGCTGTGCACGGTAGGTGATAGGATAGATCAGCCAAGGCTTAAACCTAAGCCTCTGTCTAGCCTAAGCCTAGCCTAATCCTAATCCTAAGCCTTTGCCTAAGCTTAAGCCTAAGCCTAAGCTTAAGCCTAATCCTATCCTAAGCCGAAGCCTATGCCTAAGCCTAAGACTTAGCCTAAGCCTGAGCATTAGCCTAATCCCGAGCCTAAGCCTCAGCTTATGTATAGCCTCAGCCTAAGCCTTCTAAGCCCCCTAAGCCTCCTAAGCCTAAGCCGAAGCCTATCCCAATTTCATTCCAGCATCTCCCTGATGGCCACTGCACCGGAAACCGTGACTGCCCCTCCAGCATCTGCCTCCAGGAGCCAAAGTTTTGCCTGGGGCGGAACTGCTTCGGCACGTGCCATTAAGAGAGTCGAGGCATAAATACGTATTTCTTGGTAGTGAGGTTAGATGCGGTATCGAGTTTGCAAACTAGAAAACCACCCGGAAAACGCCAAATATTTATCTCAAACGTCATCCTCGCTGCCGGATAGCCGACTCAAGCTGGCGGCACACCCCCTCCAGCTCGCCGTAAGGGATATCGCAGATATGGCTCAATTTCCCGCGGGTTTGCGGGCAATCCTCGATCGTCAGGCAGAGCTGTGACTGAAAAACGGCAAGATTGAGCCCAGAGCAAACTTTTCAAAATGGACGCGTGCACGGAGTTCGACAGGTTCTAGCAGTTCAGCATTTCTAAGCCTAAGACTAAGCCCAAGCCTAAGCCCATGTCTAAGCCGAAGCCAAAGTTTAAGAGCTAAGCCTACGCCTAAGCCCAAATCCAGGCCAAAGCTGAAGCCTAGTCTAAGCTGTCACGCTCCCTTTACACCCAAAAAATCTTGCTGCTCACCTCATCCTTCGGGATGGCTGGAAACATCGGCTCGGCATCGACGAGCAGCAGCATCAAACTCGCAAAAATCCAGAAGATCAGCTTCATCCTGGCGGCAGGTTTTGGAATGGTTTTTGAATTCTGTTTTTCAGCTTTGAAATCGAAGGGTAGTCGTTGTTTTGTAAATTTCGGCGGGTCGGTGGGCTTTTGAAGGGCTGCTTTGAAAATGCCGCCTAGAATTTAGGCCAGTTTCCCGAGAGCGAGCTGTCCTCACCAAGGTTTTCGGAATCTCCTTGGTAAACTATGTCGGAATATATGTTAATTTTTAGAAAGCGAGATATAGAAAGAGAGAGAGAGAGAGAGAGAGAGAGAGAGAGAGGGAGCGAGTGGAGAGACATTGAGAGAAACATGCTGCCGATCGGCCGAAAATCAAAGATTCCGAAATCTGCCGGTAAAATAGGTAAAACAAGGTCAAAGAATTTTCAAGGATCAAAGGTCTTGCAGGAGGAGGGAAAAGGTATAAATTCAGGGTTCCGAAGCGCCCAAAAAATCGATAAAAATGCGTTTCTTCGTGCTCCTGTTGCTGATCTTGCCCTCAGTTTTCGGGCTTTCTGGTGGCGGCGCGCATGGTGGGAAAGGGGTAGGTCTCTCTCTCTCTCTCTCTCTCTCTCTCTCTCTCTCTCTCTCTCTCTCTTTCTCTCTCTCTCTCTCTCTCTCTCTCTCTCTCTCTCTCTCTGCTCCTCTCTCTCTCTCGTTCTCACACGATTTAGAGACTTTTAAAGGAATCAGGACATCTCGTCCATTTCCAGGTGGGCCCCAGTGGTCGCGGAAAACCCTGTAAGGTGGATGCCGACTGCCCGAAGCTAGCTCGCCCGCCCTACTTCACTTGCGTCAAGCGTGGTTCCGGCGGCGGAAAATGCAAACAGAATTGGTACCCGTGACCAGGAGAAATCCCGATAATAAAGTACGTCCAGACAAAAAAGCCAGCGAGAGAGAGCGATAGAGAGAGGAGAGAGAGAGAGAGAGGAGAGAGAGAACCGGAACTAGAGTGTTTCTCGACTTCCAAACCTTGTTGATTATTCATCGATCAAAAAAGTGGTCGACGCGAGGTACTGTCTATATAAAAAGTCTAGTTTTTCCATACAAAACTAGGTCGGAATATGCGCAAAATATTTTGGAAAAGCGAGAGAGTGGGGAGGCAGCGAGAGTAGGCCAAAAATCAAAGATTTCGAAAACTTCCCGAAAAGAGTTCCAACCAGACCAAGATTTCGCCTCGATCAAGGATCTGGACGGGAGCGTGGAAAAGGTATAAATTCAGGTTCCGGAAGCGCCCAAAAATCGATTAAAAATGCGTTTCTGCGTGTTCCTGTTGCTGATTTTGCCGTCAGTTTTCGGGTTTTATGGTGGTGGTGGACACGGCGGGAAAGGGGTAGGTCTCTCTCTCTCCCTTTCTCTCTCTCTCTCTCTCTCTCTCTCTCTCTCTCTCTCTGAATAATAGGGCGCACTAATTTTAAGCCCATTTTCAGGTGGCCCCCAGTGGCCCGGGCCCACGATGCAATGTGGACGCTGACTGCCCCAGGACGCTTGTGCCACCAGGTTTCAGCTGCGTGAAGCGAGGTGTCGGGACCGGGTATTGCGAAAGGAATTGGTATCCGAGACCGGGATAAAAATGATTCTGTTCACGGAAGAAAACAGCGAGAGAACGTGGGAGCGAGAGACAGAATGAGTGAGAGAGAGCGAGAGAAAGAGAGACAGAGAGAGGGTTAGGGACGGAGACAGAAAAATTAAATGGCGTGATCAGTTCTGAGAAAATAAAATCACCTATAAAAACGATAGAGCGAGAGAGGGAGAGAGAGAGAGAGAGAGAGAGAGGAGAGAGAGAGAGAGAGAGAGAGAGAGAGAGAGAGAGAGAGAAGCAGAAAAACGAGGCCTTTAGTGGTCCTGCCCTTCCAAACCTTTTTGACTATTCAACGACCAAAAAATCGGCCCACATGAGGTACTGCTTATATAAAAAGCCCTGTTTTGACTGCCGCCGGTATCCAAAATGCATCTCGTGCTCCTCTTCCTGCTTGCATTCCCGGCGGTGTCGGCATACATGGTAATACTCCCGCCGTTATAATCGCATTTTTTGACGGGATCATGCCACTCCGATGCCGATTGCCCCCCAGGCCAGCATTGCGACATTTGGAATTGGATGGGGGTCCACCGTTGTTTACCAGATGCTCGGCATACCGATTTGGTGAGTTAATAGTATGCCGGAAACGGAAAATGTGCTTGTACACCCTAAAAGCGTACTATACGGCGTACCATGCATATACCTCAGCTTTTAACACCCACCGCCTAAGCCTATGCC